GAGGAAAGCAATGGAGGAGTCTAACCAGGGAGGTTCATGGTCACGGTCACTCATTAGGAAGATCCCTGGGGCCACTGGATCTGGGTTTGAATTCAGCTTTACCATTAAATGAGCTGTGTGATTTTAAGCAAGTAATAGCTTACTCTCCCTGTGCTTCAGTGTCCCAATCTCTAAAGTGAGAATAATAACAGTACCTATCTGGGGTGTGTGTCTGGCCGAGCAGTTAAGATGAGCATGTCCCACAACAGAGGACCTGGGTTTGATACCCGGGTGCAGCTTCTGACTCCAGCAAGTGAGGACTCCAGTGGTTGGGTCCCTGCTACCCACATGGGACACCTGAATGGAGTTCTCAGCTCCTGGCCTCAGCACAGCTCAGCCCCAGTTATTGTGTGCATTTGTGGAGCGAATCAGCAGATGGGAGCTCTGTCTTGCTCACTCTCTTTCTGCCTCTCAAATAATAAAGCATAGTTGATACACTAGATACTATCTTTCTAATAGGACCATCATGAGAACTGAATGAAGGAATTCCTGGAAACCTATAAAACTGGAGGGCTTTAAAGATGACATTTGTGATGATGATGATGTGAGGAGGAGGAAGGAGAGAAGGGAAGGAGGAGAGGAGGAGAGAATGACAATGACAGTCACTACGAGGCGTAGTGACCGGTGGTGGGGAGGAGCAGAGGTGGTGCTAACGTGCCCGCTGTGTCTGAGCACTCATCAGGGTGGGTAACGGGGGCGAGCGTGAGGCCCTCCTGGTCTTTGCTGCTGTCTCCCTGCAGCCAGCTCTAGGGGCTCCAGGTAGAAACATCTGTGACCACTGGGCACGGCAGCGAGGCAACAGCGTCCCAGGGGAGCTCATCCAGTGGTGAACTGGATGACCGTGGGGTGGGGCCCACAAACGCTGGCTGCCCCGAGTCTTCTCAGCGATGAGGGGGTGCCCAGGTTGAGCCCCTCCCAGGCAGAGTCTGTCCTGAAGCTCTGCACCCTCTCAAGCTGAGCAGAGAACAGGTGCAGGTGCAGGTGGATTTCCACCCCTGGGCAGGTCCTGTCTGCCCCGTGGATCTCCTGGCCTGCTGGCATGGGAGGCTCCCCCTCCCTCCCTCCTCAAGGCCTGGCCTCTCACGCCTGCTTCAGCTCACATCCTGGGTCAGGCCCTATGGCCTACAAAGAAAAACGCTTCACTCCTGGGCTTTTCTAACAGGAGTCAGAAACCGGTAATACAAACGGGCAAACAAACGACACGAGCAACTGGCGCAGACGGAGGCTTCTGGGGCTCCCTGTGATGCTGCCTCTCCAGTCCTCTTACTGTCTCTGAAACAATCCTGGCAGACGGGTGGTACTGCAGCTGCTGTGTGGAGGAGATACAGTCTAAGGGCGTGTAGGCCCGTTGCCCAGGGGAACCTTGCCAGTGACAGAGGCAAAATTTAAACTCAAGTCTGCAGAACGCAAGGCCTAAGCCATTTTTCTCACTCTAACTATGTTGTAGCTCCCAAATCCAGGGACCTGGAACTCTCGCTGACCTCTTAGATCCCGCCCTTCCCCCTCCTTCCCCAGGGACTGAACCACAGCTGGGAGGTCAAGACTGTTACAGGGTGGGTGTCCAGAGTCCAGCTCTGGCTGGGATGCATGCACCCCATATTGGAGTGGCTGGATTCAAATCCCAGCTTGGCTCCTATCCCAGCTTCCTGCTCTTGCACAGACCCTGGGAGGCAGCAGGTGCTGGCTCAAGCACTTGGGTCCCTACCACTCTCATGGGAGACCTGGGTTGAGTTCCTGGTTCCCAGTCTCGGCCTGGCTCAGCCTCACCTCTCTGTTATCTGTCTCTGGCTCTCTCCCTCTCTCTCTCTCTGTCTCTCAAACACACACACACAATCTAGGGGCCAACCCCTAGCTCTAGCCTATCCTCTACCACTGCTGGGATAGGGGCACATCCACAGCAACCCTGGCCAGCCTCAGGACCTCACTTCCTCAACTGATGACCAGTCAGAGTGCTGAGGAGTGGGGACAGGGTTGGGAAATCAGCTCCCTGGGGTCTCTGCAGCCCTGGTAACTAGACATCCCGAGGGTAGTGGGGGAGGCTAGAGGCTGGGGCCCGAGGGACTGCCTTTCATGGGCACCAGGGCTCGCACTGGACACTGAGTGGGGCATCTGCAGGCTTCATCCAATGCCAGGAGGAGGGTGCACGGCTAGCAGCCCTGGAGTGGTTGCTCTGGGCCTCTGCACGTGCTGCTCCCTTCATCTGCTGCACCTGTCACCTGACTTGCTCCCACCTTCTCCTTTGGGGCAGTTCAGGAGGGACTCCCTCAGGAGGCTTCTCTGGGTCTGCCTTGCCTGGCCCCAGGGCCGCTTCAGGCATTGCCCCATCACGGCAGCCACCACACTGCATGGGGCTGTCCAGCACACCCCGAGATGGCAGCACAGAGAACCCCTCAGGAATGCCTGGCGAGGGAGTGAACACATAGACGACTGCAGGTGTCTTGTTCACGGGGGCTGGGGCTGCCCCTGCCAACCCAGGGCCTTACAGACAGTTACACCCGTTTCCCAGGCTCCACCCTCCTCCTGGTCTCAGCTTCCCTACTCCTGCCCACTAGCGCTCTTCTGAGTGGCCTTGGGCTCGCACAGCCTGCTGTGAACTTCTACACCTGCTTTCTGGCTTGTGAAGAGCTCCTGGGATCTGGCAGGTAAAGGACCCCTTGGTAGCATGTCTGGAGTTCTCTGTGCTAATTTCTGCTGCGTGGGCACCCTCAGTGAAGGGGAGACCTCTGTGTGATGAAGACAGCGGGGCTAGCCCTGGCACAAGCTGTCTTCTGGCTGCTCGGTCTTCCTGTCTCACGTATTTCTCCATCCCACACCCCACCAGGACTTCTGGGTACCAGAAAGTTACATGCTCCAAGTAACTGCCCACGTGGCAAGTATGGCTTAGTACCCATTCCAGCCCTGCCCAGCCAGGCCTTGGCTCCAGCACACAGAGCTGCCTCCTGCCAGAATTGAGCAGGCGAGGCTCCAGACAGGTACAGAGAGCCCTCTGGAGCCAGGGAACACCCACAGAACTTCGGAGGACACCTCCAGCTCCCCTAGATCTGTGTGCGGGGCCAGAATGAGTGTGAGCAGGGGCCTTAGCACACCCCGCTCCATGCAGGCTGGGGCTTCTCCATCCCCCTGGGGAAAGTGAGGCCCTGCTTCCTTCTTCTTCCTCCTTTCCTCACTCCCTCGCATGAGCTGCGAGAGCCATGACTGGGCATGGTGTGCTGGGAAGGAATGAGTGCCAGCACCCACCTGGTCAGCCCTGACCCACCCTTTGGTCTGCCCTCCTTGCTTGGGCTGCTGGCTTTTCCCAGTCTGCCCAGCAGGAGCTGGTGTTGCAGCCACTTCCAGATCACGTACGGTGGCTAGGCGCTGAGGGGTGAAAGCCCAGGGGCTTGGGGCCCTGCGCTGGGGGAAGCTCCTGTGCTGGGGCAGAGGAGGGGTGTGGGTAGGAGGCCAGGGTGGGGAAACCGCCACTAGGCTCCTCAAGGTTCACCAAGGCAGACCCAACCTCCTCCCACTTCTGCCTCCCCAGTGCCCACATGTGACACCAATTCTACCACCCTACAGGCAATGAGAGGCGCTCTGAGGACACCATGACTTAGGTCCCACCTCCTGCAGCACCCAGTCTCTGCCTGGCTTGCAGGGGTAGTGGGTCCACTCGAGGCCAAAAGATCGCCCTGCTGCCCAGCCCCTGTATTCCCTCAGGGCAGCTGGACCAGCCCAGTAAAGCCCTACTGCCTCCCTCAGCCTGGTGCTGAGGGGAGCTCCCCTGCCCTGTGCACCCACCTACCTCAATTTCTGGATCTGACTTCTGTCTTCTCTCTTGCTTACTACCTACTGGACACTGCCTGCACTTGGCCTTGCTTGGGACAGGGCTGCGGAGTTAAACCAGACTGCACTGAGACTCCAGGGGCAGGTTAAACCGGTCCTGCCCCCAGCTGCCCTGGAAACCTCTGCAAGGAGCAAGCAGCTTCTGACTGACTGCAGAGGAAGGCCGGCTGTCATCGGCCCCCTCCCCCAGGCCCTGGTGACAGCTGACAAAGGGGAGGGGCTGATGGGCCTGGACAAGCTAGCGGGTATCCCTGCAGGCCCAGAGCCTGAAAAGAGAGGTCTGGGAAGGACACGGTGGGTGGCCTACTAAGGGGCTCCCTAAAGGAGTTGCCTCTGAGAGTGAGCACAGATCTGACCATTCCCGAAGAGTGGAACCAGACTCATGGGCAGATGGGCTGGGCCCCTGGCTACAGGTCAGTGACAAAAGGACAAAGTGGGGAGGGGCCAGGATGCACGAGTCTGGACATTGCACCTTCAGCTGAGGGGTCAGCTGCCCCTGCAGAATGGCTCCGGGGCCCAGAGAAGGCCTTCGGCCCCTGGCTTGAGAAAGCAGAAAGGACCCATGAGACCAGAGGCAGAGAGAGCCCATCGAATTCAGGGGCTCAGGGCTGAAGGCTGGCAGTGATACTGGGGATGGCCTTGGAGATAGAGTTTTCCCTGGGCCAGTGCTGGGGCACAGTGGGTAAGGCTGCCACCTATGACACTGGCATCCCATATGGGCACTGGTTCAAGACCCAGCTCCACTTCTGATCCAGCTCCCTACTAAGTGCCTGGGAAAGCAGCAGCAGCAGATGGCCCAAGTGCTCTACCCTGCCGCCTATGGAGAGACCCGGCTAAAGCTCCTGGCTTTGGACCAGCCCAGCTCTGGCCATTGCTGGGAGTGAGCCAGTGGCTGGAGGACCCCTCTATCTTTGCCTTTCAAGTAAATAAATACATTTTTTTAAAAAAAGAGTTTTCCTTCCCCAGGGATCCACAGAGACAAGGGCTGCTGGCGTCTGGCCAGAGAAGGCTGAGAAAGGACCTGTGCCCAGGTACCCGGAGGCAGGCAGTGGCATCTCCTGGCCTCTGTGCCTTGGCTGTCTTTGGGTCTGTCAGCTTTGGGCCAAGGGTTCGGCGGAAGGCGCCAGCGCCGGGGAGCTCACCACTCTCTCCTTGTAGACGATGTACTTCAGCCACTTGAAGTCCTGCCACTTGAAGCCAGCCAGGACGAAGAGAGAGTCGCGCTCATACTGCTCTGGCCGCTGCATGGCGCCCTCGGGGTAGGTGATGCGCAGAGTGGTCTTGCTGCCCACGTCCCTCTCAAAGCCCTTCACTGGAGCTGAGTTCAGTCTGCAGAGAGCAGACACAGTCAGAGCCTGCCTCAGGCCTGAGCCTCGGCAGCCCCAGGTGAGGAGAACAGGGAGCCCTGGCTGCGGGCGCCATCCTGCTGCTCTGTTCCATGGCCCTCCAACCCAGTGTTCCTGAGGCTTCTGCTGGTCTCAGCCCACCAGGCCAGATAAACAGACAGTTCTCCGAGGCCCAGAGCCCAGGATCTGGCCCAGGATCCTAGGGGCTCCAGGCGCTACTTGGAGGGAGGGCTCACCTGACCACAATGTCGTAGTCATCAATCCGTGACCCCAGGGACTTGTTGGCAAGGACCCCTCCATTGCCCACGATGATGCAGCGGCGGCAGCGGAGGCTGAGTGGAGAGAGGTGGAGGCTGCTGTGCAGAATCGTCTTCCAGGCCCTTCCCCCCCTTGCCCTTTGGCCTTTGACCTCATGCCCATGGCCAGGATCAGGCTGAGACAGAAGAAGGCCAACAGGCTTCCTGCAGAGAGGAGGCCAGAACCACACGCGGGGCAGCTGGGCCCCCGGGCTCTCCAACATCCCTGGTCCCTGACCCTACCCTAGGAAAACATGGGTGTGGAAAAACCCAGGTACCGCTCCCCCCTCCCCCCGGGAGGGTGTCTCCTTCTGGGGTCTAGGCTCCCCAGGGGTTACAGGGATTTAGGCAGCCTTAGGGTAGAGGGGAAGGTGGGCTGTGCTGGAGACTCTGCCAGGAAAGCAAAGACAGGCTCCAAAGTCAACTGAGAAGCCCCCAGCCCCCAGCAGTCACCAGGGGGCCGACTCAGTTCACTTCTCGCACTCCTGATCCTGGGGCCCTGCCCCTCCAGGGCCTGTTGGCTTCAGAGCTGTGAGTGCCTCCTGGGCTGAGGCCCTCCCCCTTCAGCTGCCCCCATCACCCAGACTCACAGTCCCATTGCTGGGCTGATCCCAGGCTAAGTCTTCTGAGGACTGGGATGTGTCGTTGAGTGCTGACAGCTGGCAGGGTGCAGCCCAGGGGAGGGGTCCCCCTCACCTGCTGCACCAACCCAGTCTGTGCACTGAGTGTGCACATGCTGGTGGGCCGGAGAATCTGCCCATGCCAGGAAAGGCCAGTTGGGGGGCAGGAGGCTGGGCGAGGAGTGGCTCACCTGTCTAGGGCAGGGGTCAGGCGATACTCTTTGGTGACTGACAAGATGGCTTTGATCAGATTGTCTGTGGACAGAGGAGGCAGGTTACTATTTACTTACATTCCCATAAGGCCTGATAACCCTACTCAAAGGCTAGTTCCTGGGTCTAGGAACTAGGAGGTGGAGGTGGGGAGAAGCAGCTCAGGACTTAGAACTGGACTGGCCACTGCTCTTTCTCCCTGAGACAGGAGATGGGGGCAGGAAAGCCGCCAGGCATGCCTCGGTGGCAGCCAGTCCTGGACTGGGTGCAGGACACCTCCCAGGGCTTCTACACCTTCCTGGGGCACTCACATGGCTTCCCGAGGCTCTGCAGCCAGGTCCCAGACATGGTTCCCTAGGCCAGGGCCTTGCCTGGAAGCCCAGGCATCTCTGTCTCCCCCAGAAATGGGAGCCCCAACTTTGAGACAGAGACCTCCTTATGCTTATCTCTATGCTACGGCCTGGCAGGTGTCAGGCAACATAGGAGACAACCAGTGACCCACGTGCCCATCTGGGCCTTGCTTTCTGTCACTGCCCCCCTCACCTCTCCTCTGACTCGCATTGCCCATCTCAAATCCTGTCCTGTGCCAGGTTCTCTTAGAGAACCTGAGACCTGGCATCTACCCACCTGCACCCCACCCAGGCTGTCCCAGTGAGGACCCCCATCTACCTACCTGCACCCCACCCAGGCTGTATCAGCAAGGACCCCCAGGGCCACTATTCTGACCCTCATCTTCTTGGCCTCTTTCTGGCCTTGGCAGGGATGACTGCTCTGCTGTCAAACCCTGGTGTAATGAGGGCGTTTTCCCATAACGCATAATGTGTAGTGAGGGTACTGGCTCTGGAATCCGATCCTGGCTCTACACTCGAGAGCACTGTGACCTTACGGGAGTCACTTCCCTTGAGCTTTAGTCTCCTCATCTCAAAAATGAAGATGGTTAATTCCTACTCTGCAGAGTTGTTAGGAGGATAGGAGATAATGCGTGAGGAGCCAATGATAAACTAAGTGCATCCCCACCATGGAGAGCACCTTCCTGCTGTCAACTGACGATGCACACACGTGGAGATTGAGATCCTGCGACGCTGCTCCTTGTGTGCGCAGCACTGAAAACTCACACCTTCACTCACGGTGACTTGAACAAGAATGTCCACTGCAGCACTGTTTGCAACAGCAAAACATGGGAGGCAACCGCCATGCCCACAAAGGAAAATACATTAAAGGTTTTATGTGGAATACTACACAGTCAGTAAAAAACCAATGACCCAGATCTGTCTGTACCAATATAGTAAATCTAGAAAACATAAGCCAAAAACAAAAACAAAAACAAAAACAAAAAAGCGTGAATACACACACATACATTTATGCATGTAATGAGACCATCTGTAAGGTGTACAAAGGATGCTTTTTTAATGAGATATAAATATGTAGCACAAACAAAGATAAGGATGCTAATGTTGAAGCTGAGATAATGGTCTCCCGGGGAAGGAGGAGATGGATGATTTAGTTGTATTTCACACTTTAATTGCATCTCATACAATTTCTGAAGCTGGGTAAAAGGTGCGTGGCTGCTCATTACATTATTCTTTATACCTTTTAAATGTGTTTGATATATTTCATGTAAATTAAGGATGCCTCCAAAACTCAAAATAACAAACCTATGATTTTTTAGAAGATGGGTGGGGACACCATCAGCACGGAACGAGGTCAACTTCGAGACTGAAAGCACCCTTGGGATTTCCGGGGGGCACCGTGTAATTTTTCCTGGTGAGAAGGAGGCAGCAGGGGGCACGGCCCATCTTCCCAGAGGCTGAGTGAGAGCCGGGTAAGTGAACAAACCTTTGAGGAATCTACAGACCTAAGTACCTTCAGCTGTGCCTCACGATGGGCTTTGGGGAGGGCCACAAAGGCCCTCTTCCCCCACCCCCACTTCTGCCTCTAAGGAAGAGTATACTGTTGCCCATTGGCTAAGATCAAAGATGTGGCCTGGGCTTTATTTCCCCTCCGGTGAGGGGACCCCTAGCAGAAAGGGCACACGGGAGCAGGTGCCCTCCTCTGCTGGCCGATGGGCTCTGCATTGCACTTTCCTTGTGTTCAGTTGGACCTCCAGTGTCTCGAGTGGGGATTTAGGAGAGCACAGCAGGCTGCTTGAATGCCTGCACGCAGGAGAGAGGAGTTCTTCACGTAGTTCAGCCCATTGGATTTGTCCTTGGAGCTCTGAGGTCAAAGTTCAACAGCAAGCTTTTGCTGGCCAGCGTCTCGGGGTAGGTGGGTTGTGTGGAGGGTTTAGGCATCCCTGAGTCTCCTTTCATAGCTGCTTTATTTAATTTTGATCAGAACCGTATACAAGAGTAGTAGCCTCTCCCTTGAAGTGATGAAGAAGCCAAAGCACAGGCAAGTAACTTGTCCAAGGTCACAGCTGGTGAGGGCGCAGTCTGGGGACCTGACCCCACACTCTGTCACCACAGCCATGACATACTCGTGGCAGGAACTTGACAAAGAAGCCAAGTTGCTAAACGGCCAGGGATGGGAAAGCCCTCAGTCAGGTGGGAGCTGGATGATGGGTGAGGTCCCTAAGGCAATGGCAGGAGACAGTTTCTGAGAGTATGGGGGCAGGACTTAGGCTCAGAAAGGATTCGCAGGGAGACAGGTGAAGACCAAGCCATGTCAGGCAGGGAGAAGTGAGGAACTTGGGGGCATCCCCGGAGGGCAGCCTGTCTTCTTCAGGAAGCTCCTCATCACTAGTGCCCTGGCCTTCCGACCTCCAGTGCCTCTTCTCTGTGCCCGCTCCGTTCATAGTACTCCCTTCACTCAGCCTTTGCCGCCCTGTGCTCTGAGTGGCTGCACTGCACTAGACAGGAGCTCCCTGAGCAGTGGGACCCTAAGTGTCTATTCATTTGTGTAGACAGTGGCCAGTGGAGGGCTAAGAGAAGGGGAAGGCAGGGAAAGAGGGAGACGAGCTACTGCTCAGGGCGGATCCTGCGTGGGACTTCTGCGGACGGTCTAGAGGATGAGGTGTTCACACAGGTCAGGGTTCCCAACATACCTTGACCTTTGATCCCAAAAGGCGGCACAAACTCCCGGATCCTAGCCCACTTGCGGAAGGAGTCATCCAGGAACATGGGTGCTGGCTTGGAGAACCTGGAACACAATGGGGCCGCTGAGAATCCCAGCAATGCAACACACTGGAGGACCGGCTGGCTCTGCTGTGCATCTGTCCTGGCCACAGGTCTGCTGGAGACCACCCTCCACATGCCAGCATACCCTCCCTGCCCTGGCGGAGTGCGCGGGGTGGCTGCTGACCTTGCTGGGGGAGGGCTGAGTCTAGGGAGCCTTTATTTGGTCAGCAGCACGAGCGCAGGATGAGGTCTGCCGGGCAAGGACAGCTGCAGAGCTGGCAGCTCTCTGCAAAGTTATCTGTGCACCCACCACACGGCCTCCCTTTCCTGCTGTCCACACTGTCCCTGAGACCTGGGAATGTGTGGAGGAGACCCTGTCCCATCCGGCAGAGAAATATCCCCAAATACGGCCAGTGCAGGGAGATGGAACACCCGGGGTGAGGGAGGAGGAGAGTTCAGGGTGAGAGGGCGCAGCAGGAGATGCACGTTTGGCAGAGAAGAGAACTGTGATTAGGGCAGGGCTGGGAGGACAGGCTTCAGACAGTGGGAACCCAAGGGCCTTTGTGGGTGGAGAGCCCAACAGGGTGGGTGGGTGGGGGGAGGGCAAGGGGGAGGGAAGGAGGAGGGTGAAGCCATGCCGAGTCGGGAAGAAGGGAGCAGGCAAGCTTCACTCTGGGCAGGGCAGCCGCAGGCATGGGGAGGAGACCAAGTCAGAAGGGATGCAAAGGCAGGGAGGCCTGGGGGGAAGTGAGCTCTTCCCAGACCCTAGAGAACGTGGCTTCACGTGGAACTTGGAGGCGGCCAGTTCCCATGGAGCTGACAGCCTGGCTCCGTGCCCTCAGTGGCTCTGCGTCTTTCTCATTCAACCGAGATCAGCCCACTGAGTAACTGGAGGCCACGGGATTCGCCCTCCGGGCCCAGAAGCCAGAATCAACAGCTCCTAATGTGCTGTAACTACTACCATCCATCCTTCATCCCCATCCTCACTAAAGCCATTCCGACCTCCACTCCCTTGAGGAAAGGTATCAGTAATTACATGAGGTCAAACACTGTTAGAGACCTTGATGTGAACTTGACAGAGGCAGAAGACTTTCAGTCCTGCTCCCTCCCCCGCCACCAGCTGGAGGAAGTCTATGTCAACACTGGAGGCCACTGAGAGGCCCTTCCTGCACACTGGCTTCCCTGTGGACTTCTGGTGCCAGCAACAGAGCGAGCACAGCCCCTCCCGCCGTGCTTGAGCGAGACGCCTCTCTCCTGTGCTCGGTGTATTAAAATATGAATTGTTTTACCATAGACAGTGAGGATCCTGGCTCCAGTCTATGTGTCATATCCATGGAAACACGGTCCCTGCACAAACGTGCATCAAGGACCCTCCTTCTGTGTCAGGACTGTGTTTATAAATTTTTTGTAAAGTTTCTTACTCAGGCTTGGACAACCTTTTATCTGCTTCCCAATATGTACTGGATGTCATAGGCTAATAAAATCTCCAGAGATCTAGCCAAATGATCTCAACATGTTTTTTTTTTTTTTCCACTTTTATTCTCTCTCCCCACCTTTTCCCCAGCTCATTAGAAAGTTCATTATATTAATTTTTTACTTTAAAAAACACTGTAGGGGTGCATGTTTAGCCTAACTGTTAAGACGCTCGTGTCCCGTATCAGGGTGCCTGGGTTTGGGTCCTGGCTCCAGCTCCCTGCCAGTGTGGACCCTGGGAGGCAGCAGGTGATGGCTCAAGTACTTGAGTCCTGCCACCCACATGGAAAACCTGGACTGAGTTCCCAGCTCCTGGCTTCAGCCTAGCCCAGTTCCACCCTGGCCATTGTGGGTATTTGGGGAACAATTTCTATCTTTCTGCCTCCCAGATTCAAAAGAAATCATAATAAACACCTTTTTGTGTAGTCTGCAATATGTGTTAATTCTGGAAAAACACAGATACAGAAAACAGATGCCTGCGACCCCGCGACACAGAGATGATGAACCTTTTGGTTTATATGCAAACTGATCTTCCTTTTCCCATATTATATTGTAGGCTGACTTTCTCCTGAGATAGACACAGTGGGTCAAAGAACAAAAGCCACAAAACTGCTGGCAACAAAAAGTGAAATGCAAAAAAGACGGCCAAGTGAAAATATGGCCAAAAAAGAGGAGCTGTCCCGTCAGTAATGGTCAAAAAAGAGCTTGAGAGACAGACCACGGCTAAAGCATTACGTGGGCCTGACAGAGGTTTCTCCAAAACTCTGTAGCGTGCGACCTACGCATTTCTTGCCTTCATGACTGGCTTTCAAACGCTTGCTGTTGCTCCTCCTTCTCTTAGCAGGCCCTCGTGACTTAGAGGTGCATGCTGCAGCCTCCCTTTGTGCTCGCTGAGACCGAGCCAGCCCCTCCCCAACAGCTCTCCCTGCTAGTGCAGTGCACCGCTTCGCAAAGGGCACCCTTTCTTCCTCCTGTGGATTTATGTCATCAACTTTCTACTACGGAAAGCTACACTCATACAAAAGTAGCGGAGAACAGCACCATGCGTCCCCTAGGGGTCTTGTCCAGATTCAGCGTCATCAGTCAAAATTTCTGTTTCTTTTAGACCCACTCGCTTTCTTTATTATTTTGGAAAATCTTAGAAAAGAAAATCTTAGCTGTCATTTCAGGGGCCGTCGCTGTGACTTTGTAGATTAAGCCTCCGCCTGTGATGCCAGCATCCCATATGGGCACTGGTTCAAGTCCCAGCTGCTCCTCTTCCAATCCAGCTCTCTGCTATGGCCTGGGAAAGCAGTGGAAGATGGCCCAAGTCCTTGGGCCCCTGCACCCGCATGGGAGACCTGGAAGCTCCTGGCTCCTGACTTCATATTGGCTCAACTCCAGCCATTGCAGACATGTGGGGAGTGAACCAGCAGATGGAAAACCTCTGTCCTTCCCTCCCTCTCTGTCTATAACTCTGCCTCTCAAAGAAATTAATAATAAAAAGAAATTATGTCATTTCATCCTCAAAACACTTCAACATTAATTTTAAGATGATACCTTAAAAAATGTAACCATACTTAAACAACTCTTTATTTTATTTTTAAAGTTGAGCATTTATTCCCAATCCATTAGGAAAAAAGTCCACTTGATGTGGCTACACATACCCTTTAATTCATTTCTTCTAAAGAAAAGTACAAAAGACTATACTAAAATCAGACAGGCATTTTTAAACAACTCTTAAAAACATTATCATGCCTAAAATATTAACTGCAATTTCTATTTTAAAAAAGATTTATTTATTTACTTGAAAGTCAGAGTTACACAGAGAGAGTGAGAGGCAGAGAGAGAAAGAGGTCTTCTATCTGCTGGTTCACTTCCCAGTTGGCTGCAATGGCCAGAGCTGTGCTGATCCGAAGCCAGGAGCCAGGAGCTTCTTCTGGGTCTCCCACATGGCTGCAGGGTCCCAAGGACTGGGCCATCCTCTACTGCTTTCCCAGGCCATAGCAGAGCTGGATCGGAAGTGGAGCAGCTGGGACTTGAACCGGCGCCCATCTGGGATGCTGACACTGCAGGTGGTGGCTTTACCCACTGCGCCACAGCGCCAGCCCCAACTATAATTTCTTAATAGCAACAGATATCCAACCAGCTTTCAGGTTATTCTTGTTGTCTCATTAATGTTGTCATTGCTTGTACTGATAGCTGGTTTGCTGAGATCAGAAGGGAAGCACAGTTCCCATGCTGTGTTTGCCAGGTCTGTGTCTCTTAATCCACAGATCTCACTGTTTGTTTGTTTTCCCTTACAATTTGTTGCAGTCACCTCGAGTTCCCTACATTCTGTGTTTTTTCCAGTTGCATCTAGACACCGTTTAAAGATTCATTTTTTTTTTTTAATTTTTGACAGGCAGAGTGGATAGTGAGAGAGAGAGACAGAGAGAAAGGTCTTCCTTTTGCCGTTGGTTCACCCTCCAATGGCTGCCGCGCTTCAGCCGGCGCACTGCGCTGATCCGATGGCAGGAGCCAGGTACTTATCCTGGTCTCCTTGGGGTGCAGGGCCCAAGTACTTGGGCCATCCTCCACTGCACTCCCTGGCCACAGCAGAGAGCTGGCCTGGAAGAGGGGCAACCGGGACAGAATCCAGCACCCCGACCAGGACTAGAACCTGGTGTGCCGGTGCCACAAGGCGGAGGATTAGCCTAGTGAGCCATGGCGCCGGCTAAAGATTCATATATGCTTATGTTTTTTGACAGGCAGAGTGGACAGTGAGAGAGAGACAGAGAGAAAGGTCTTCCTTTGCCATTGGTTCACCCTCCAATGGCCACCGCGGCCGGCGCGCTGCGGCCGGTGCACCACACTGATCTGATGGCAGGAGCCAGGTACTTTTTTTTTTTTTTTTTTTTAATTTAAAATCCCACAGCCACTGTTTATTACAGAGCCGCCCCTGATCGGGGTGATGGGCCTATCGGTAGGATTTCTGGTAGCAAGCACGGGCACCGGGGCCTCCAAACTTCTTGGACTTGCAGCGGCGGGGGTCAGCGACCAGCAGGGTGCGGTCATACTGGATGAGGATGTCTTTGATCTCCTTCTTGGACGCCTCATCCACATATTTCTGGTAATAGGCCATCACGGCTTTGGAGATGGACTGGCGGATCGCATAAATCTGAGCCACGTGACCGCCACCCTTCACTCGGACCCGGATGTCCACGCCAGCAAAGCGCTCCTTGCCAAGGAGCAGAACAGGCTCCAGCAGCTTGTACTGCAGCGTGCGTGGCTCAATCATCTCCAGCGGCATCCCGTTCACCTTGATAAGCCCGTTGCCCCGTTTGCAGTGGGCCACGGCGGTGGCTGTCTTCTTCTGTCTGAAGACCTGAATGGACTGTAGAGGGCCCTTGGACGGCATGGCTGCGGCCGAACTATGGCGATCCTCACCGCGAGGCGCTACAACCGGAAAAGGGCAGGAGCCAGGTACTTATCCTGGTCTCCCGTAGGGTGCAGGGCCCAAGCACTTGGGCCATCCTCTACTGCACTCCCTGGCCACAGCAGAGAGCTGGCCTGGAAGAGGGGCAACCAGGACAGAATCTGGCGCCCCGACCGGGACTAGAACCCGGTGTGCCGGTGCCGCTAGGTGGAGGATTAGCCTAGTGAGCCGCGGTGCCAGCTAAAGATTCATTTTTAAAAATTATTTTTATAGGCAGAGCTGGAGAGACAGAGAGTGAGACAGGCAGAGAATTTCCATCCCCTGGTTCACTTCCCAAATGGCTGCAACGGCTGTGGCTGGGCTAGTTCTGGGAGCCTGGAACTCCACCAGGGTTTCCCACTTGAATGGCAGGGGCCCAAGCACTTGGATCATCTTCCGCTGCCTTCCCAGGCACATTAACAGGAAACAAGAACTGAAGTGGAGCAGCTGGGACTTGGACTGGTGCTCATACAGGATGCCGGCATCACAGGCAGCAGCCTAACCGGTGGCACCACAGCGCGGGCCCCTCCAGACACTGGTTAGCATGTTCCTCGGATCCCTGCACTCTGGAGGCTGAGGTTAGGGCTGGAGGCTTGATCAGATTCGGGTGCAATCTTCTGGCCAACAGACTTAACAGCCACCTTCCCTGGAGCCCTCAGCAGGCAGAAGAGAAGTGCATGCTTCCTCAGGACATTAAGGCTGGTCACAGGGCCGGGGCTGTGGCGTAGTGAGTTAAACCACTGCCTGCAATGCCAGGATCCCGTATGGATACCAGTTGGTGTCCTGGCCACTCCACTTCTGATGCAGCTCCCTGCTAATGTGCCTGGGGAGGCAGTGGAGGAGGATGCCCAAGTGCTTGGCCGGTACACCCACACGGGAGACCCGGAAGAAGCTTCTGTCTTCGGTCTGGCCCAGCCTCAGTAGTTGTGGCTATCTGGGGCATGAACCAGTGGATGGAAGATTCTTTCTCTCTCTCCCTGTCTCTGTAACTCTGCTTTTGAAACAAAAATTTAAAAGAAAATTAGAGGAAGAGGAAGTAGAAGAGGAGGAAGAGGAAGACAAGGAAGAGGGAGAAAAAGAAGAAAAAGAAGAGGAGGAAGAAGAAAAAGAATGAAGGAGGAAAAGAATAAGAGGAAGAAGAGGAAGAAGGAAGAAGAAGAAAAATGCTCTCAAACTTAGGGTTACAAGATTTGTACTTACCTTCCTTTTACTTTTTTTTAAATTTTATTTAAGCAATACACATTTCATGTATTTCATATATACAGATTTAGGAACATAGTTGACACTTCCCCTGCTACCCACCTTCTCTTTACTTTAAACAGCTTTATTGAGATATAATTCATGCAGTATAAAATTTATCTGTTTACTTGCTTCTTTGATTTTATATTAAATATGTGTCTTTTCTCTTAAGCTGACATCCTTGTCTCTTGTGCCATTAACAGTTATTTGTTTTAACCTAATATATGCACACGGAAATCATACATAACAAAAAATAACACCACTGGTATCATTACTAACAGCAGCTTTCCTGAAAACAATTTTAGGCTTCTTTGCAGAGCTTTTTGCTGTAGTAAGGCATACTCCACTAGAAGTTCAAACAAATCACTTTGCTTTTCCCACTTGAAATAATTCTGCTGAATTTAATTCACCAATAATACATAGGTGGGTTCACTTGTTTCATTTTGCTTTTTAGGGATTCCTTTCCCTCATTTTATTTAATTTTGTTTTATGATGACATAACACTTTTTAGTTCCCAAATTAAATGAACAAAACAAAATACCTTCAGAGAAGTCTAGCTTTCTTGTCTCTGTTTCTGTCCTGTTACTTCTATTCCCATACAGTATTTGTTTTACTTCGTTTTTATTTTTTTTTTAAAAGATTTGCTTCATTCATTTGAAAGGCAGAGTTATATATAGAGAGATGCAAAGACAGAGAAATCTATCATCTGCTGGTTCACTCCCCAAATGGCCACAATGGTTAGGGTTGGGTCAGACAGAGCCAGGCACCAGGAGTCTCTTCTAGGTCTTCCATGTGGGTGCAGGGGCCCAAGCACTTGGGCCATTTTACACTGCTTTCTCAGGTACATTAGCAGGTACCTGGCTTATTTTATTTTTCTTATGTTATTTTTATATAAGTAAATAATACCTAGTATGTATATGTATATATCCCCTTTCCTTCTTTATACACTAAGAAAGTAATATGCTACACACAATATTTTGCTATTGTTTTAAAAAATGTTTATTTCCATCTACTTGAAAGGCAGAGAGAAAAAGACAAAGGGGGCAGGGCAAGAGAGGGAGGGGGGTAGGAGAAGAGAAGGGACAGAGTGACAGACGATCGACTTCCATCTACTGGTTTACTCCCTAAATGCCCACGACAGCCAGGGATGGTCCAGACTGCAGCCAGGGACTGGGCTCCATCCGGGTCTCCCACGTGGGTGGCAGGGACCCAAGCACTGAGCCATCGTCTGCTGCCTTCCAGGGTGCACTAGCAGGAAGCTGGATTTGCAGTGGAGGAGCTGGGACTCCAGCCAGCACTCTGACATGGATGCAGTGCGACACCACCCACTGCTTACCGATTCTTCTAGCCACACAGTATATCCAGGTGACCGCTCCATAGTAGTCCTGTCTACCTGGTAGTACCTCATCGCAGTTAGGTGTCATTTTTAAAATTCAATCAGTCCCCTGGGTGGTTTCCAGTTTTGGAAAGTGGGTTCCACTGACAGGAGTTACAATCAGTGACTTCACGCATACATCTTCTCTGTTTGCCAATGTGTCTCTGGATCGATTCCCAGAACTGGGCTTGCCAGATACGCCAAATGCCCCTCCGCAGGGGCTGTGGCACTTGGCAACGCCTGCCAGCGATGTATAGCAGTGTCACTCCCCCCACAGCACAACATCAATCACTTCAGTTCTGCCACTCAGCTGGGAAGGGAAGAGCGTGGTGCTGTTGTTCTGCCTTGCAGTTCTTCCATTATGAGTGGACCTGACCAGACAAGCTTTTGCTCGCTTGTCTATGAGTGGTCATCACCTTCTCTTTTTTGGGAAGCTTTTTATACAGTGAATATATAAACCCTCTGAGATATAATTACAAATATCCCCCCCAGTTTACTCAGCTTATGCTATGTTCTCGTCTTCCTTTCTTTTCCCCCAGTGGACGTTTTGGCAGGACAGTCAAACTGACCAATCTGGGAAACTCACCAATAAGGGACAGCCCTCACTGCTTCTGGATCCTGAGTCTCAGGAGGTTTCCCTCATCCCCAGGATACCGCGGGTCCCTCATACTTTTTCCTTGTACTTTTATGTTTTCATTCACATCTTTGATCCTTTTGACTGGTGTAAAGATTGGGCCCAGTTGTATCTACTCCCGCATGGCTATCAAGGGACAGTCTCTGTTCTTGGGTCACTCTAAGCTCTTCTTTACTTCTGCTTAGGTGATCTGCACGCACGTTTTCCCCTGGCTTTGCCTCTTTGCACCACTGAATGGAGCTGCATGGATTCCAGGACGCTCCCTGCTGTCCCCTCACTCAGCTCCGGCTGAGCCCCACCCTCCTCTTTCCCTGGGCACATGCTGGCTTCCATATCACGGGGGCCAGGTTTCTGAATGGGGAACACGGACCTGGTACCCTCTGTATTCTCCTGTCACCCTAGAATTCCCAGAAAGGACAGGGTGGACCCAGGGAGTGACAACAATCACAGCCAGTGCCCTCACGTTCTCACCGTCATCCTCATCTCCATCACTGCCATGCCGCCACCACCTACTGAATCTACCATCCCCAAGCGTTCAATAAGCTAACCACTGGCTCTTTCACCAGGTCTCAGCATTCGTCTCATCTTCTATGCAGACCCAGTTCTTGCCCATTACTTTCAGAAACTTCAGTGCCCTAAAGCCCCGACGACTCACTTCACTGCAGTGACCCGCAAATCCTATGTCAGCCACTCGATTCCCTAGCCACATCCCGGAACATTTGTCACGTAGAAGATACTAAATTGCAGTACTCTGAATACAGCTTCCTAACTAACATTCCATTTCTCTTCACGCCTTGGTTTTCTGCGCGAAGCCCCCGCCTTGCACGCTCACTCCCCATCTACCACCCCTCCTGCTTGGCTCCCATCCACCCTTCAGTCTCCCTCTATACACACTCCCATTGTGTTTCAGGCAAAACTCAACCAGAGATGAACAGAATCCTACATTTTTACATCTTTTATACTTGAGGTACTGAAGGGATGCACATGAGAGGACACAGCAGACACACGCACACACACACATGCACACTCACACTCACGAAGACTGACGCCCCCATGGACTCACGGACTTGACCTTGGTTGGGCGTTGCTCAGCAGCTATTCCAAACATTCCACACACTCCAGAAGCTCCATCCTTCCCCAGCTTTCTCTAAGCAGGGATCTTCTCTCTCCCTTCACAGAGAAAACCAAGACCACCAGAGAGAGACCCTGTCTGCTTCTTGTTTCCCTGCTCACAAACCCACCAGACCCTTTGCTCAGCCTTCAGTCTGGCCTGCCCACCCCACTGCAATGCCAGCAAAGTGGATCTTCCCATCCTGCTGTTGATCCCAATCCTGTTTGTTTCCCCAGAAGCACACAGGGACATAAGCAAAACCCAACAGACTCTGCTAATCATGCACTTAGCCATGAACCCCTCTCCCTACCCCTTCATGGAAAAACTTCTAGCAAGAGCAGGGGGTCTGTGTCCCCTTCCTCTCCTATTTACTCCCCAGTCCCACACAATCTGGGTTGACTCCCTGAGGGAATGGCTATTATTCCCCTAGTCGGCACTGCTGTAGCCCCCTGAACAGGGAGTCTTCAAGCATTTACCCACGCAGAGCCTGCCTGAAATGTGGGTCCTTGTTCCACACTCCAAGCCTCTTTCTTCTCTGTTTTCCTGGAAAGTTTTCTTCTTCTTTTTTTAAAAGGGGAAAAAGAGAGAGAGAGAGAAACATCTTCCAACCACTGGTTCACTCTCCAAATACCTGCATCACTGGGGCT